AGCAGCAGCAGCAGCAGCAGCAGTACATGCTCTCTTATTCGCTGATGGTGTAAATTTCTTGAAAGTTGCAAACTTGTGCATTGTTGTTGCAGTTAAAGTTATTGTTGCATTGAAAGTTCAATGTTCCGTTTTACTGTCCCTTCAAAGACTTGTGGCAGGCAGGCAGCTGTCGCTGTTATTAACCTCCTCCAAGGCTCCGACTCGAAAATCGACTTGTCTACGTAACCCCTTTTTTGTTGGGTGCCAATGCTGGCATAAATCATGCTGCAGCTAAATTAGTTAATAAATCACAGAATAAGTAGCCCTGCCCCTTTATTAGCAATGTATTAAAATACAAAAAATACAGTTTAGGAAAACTGATATATTTTTTATATTCTGCACCCATACAATTGATTACAAATATTATTATTATATATGCATAATTATTTTCAAGACACCATCGGTTGTTTCCTATATGCATATATGTTAAATTAATGTACCATTATTAGATATTCTTATCTTCTTGATTAACTGTTTGTGATTTCCCCGCTTTTAGACTGTTCACACAATTCTCGTGGGAATAGTATAATCAGGGCTTCTATTATTTAATTGAGTATATTTAACAGATGCAATTTTGCTTGTTTCAATACAGGCTTGTTCCAGACGATTTCAATTAAAAATAATTTACAAATAAAAGTTGTGGTAAAACGGGGGGGTTGAGAGGCTGTAATGGAGTTATTTGATTCGTTTGATACGGCAAAGCCATAACATTCTCATCCTCATCTCTCGTCATCTACGTTCGCAAGTACGTTACAATTTACACTGTCTGTTTGGATATGCATTTGTCGATTTACATTGCAAAATTGTTGTTTATATACGCACGGAGATCAGGATCTGTCCCGACCCTTTTTTCTACTATATACAAACATACAAACATGCAAACATACATACAAATGTACGTACTTTCATGCACAGACGATTACATTGAACCGCTTTTGAGCGCATTTTTGAAAATATTTGTGAAAAATATTTCGCATTCAAACGGATTGAAACGCACAAAAACAAACATTCACGTACAATCTCTGCTCCCATTTCATTTCATTTAATTTTGTTTGCAGGCAAAGTCCATGCGCCACAATTTTTGCAATGAAAAATATCCGTGGATAGTGAAGCGCTGGAATGCAATTGAATTGAATGATACGGGTCGACACGACCACTGATAATCTTGGACCCAAATATGAACAAATGTAATCTTGTAAGACTCGATATTATTGTTGTGTGATTCAGAGGTGTCACAAATCCACAACCACAACGTAATTTTCGGAATTTTTTTGTGTGATTTGATGCTATCACAAATTGTATACAAAATTAATATTACAATCAAGAACATTTTCTCAAGTCATATTTGGCGAATCAAAGGCAATTTTACGGTAGACTCCGACTTAAACGGTTTGCGGCAAAAAAATTGTAAATATTTAGTCTCAACTGGAAAGTTTTCAAGCCGCATAAGGGGCAACAGAGGCATTCTTTAGATTCTGAAGGAATTTTTAATATTTTAATGTGCAAAAAAAAGACACAGAGCGTGACAGCAGACAGCAGAGACAAGAATAGAACGTAAAGTTGCCAGAAAGATGCTCCTTTAAATAGCTTAAATGACGGGTAAGTCTTGTCGTTCACATGGACATTAGAGCGTAGCCCACAGTCAGAGCAGCAAAATTATTTTGTAATAAATTTTGTGACATATTTCCATGAATGTGAAAAAGAAAAAAAACAAATGCTGAAAGGAAGGATGTTGCAGCGATTCTGGCAACACACAAAGAAGACTTCAGACAGGTAACAGCTGCCCAGCCCGCCCGGGCGTAGGCGGTTTTATGTTTGTCAGTCAGTTTGCTTCTTACGGATAGACACTCAGACATACATACACCAATACTATATATTAAATGCACATCAGTGTTAAGTAATAGCAACTTAAGATTGTCTACGAAAATATCTGCCAAAACGAATTGTTGCCTAAATAAAAGCAAATAAAATGTGTCTCTAAGCGCAGACGACGGGACGAAGCAATTTTGCAATATGACGTGACCGTGACTTTATGACGTTTTGATTTATATATTATTGAAAAAGTTTTGTCGCAGGCAGAAAAATCACGCGCTACTACCAACAATCACGTAGGTGACAGCTTCAAGACTCTCTCTGCCCCCCCCCCCCCCACGATACGCGCAGTAAGCTCATAAATAATTTTTAGCCAAAAAGTTGACACTGAAGCCGAAGCGATATTAATTTTTGATGTGCTCCGTAAAGCAATCGTATGCGGCTTAATAGCGTTGTAAGTGATATCAATGTTTCAGGCTACACATTCCCATAGCCTTCAACTTTATAGATTAGAGCCAATGCCGATGCAATATATACGTAACCCAACCCTGGCACGGGGCAGGACCCAGACCCACAGCCTCAAAAAACTTTTCGTTCAATTGATTTGACGATGGCTTCCGTGCTAGCGCGCCCTTTCGTGGGGTGGCTACGCTGTGCATTTAGCAACCCCTCTCGATCTGCCAGTTATTTTTGGAATGGAAATTAATTAAAAAAGTTTTTAATCAGCCTTCGAATGTGTCAGCGCGCTATACAAAAGATTTAAATTTGAGTTTCTTCTCTTCTACTGGCGCTGCCCCTAGGCGTCTAAGTGGCAGTGTTATTTTATTGAAAAGTCAGTTAACTAGTAGGACAAACTTCAATTACCCAATAATACAAATATTCAAAAAAAATATCTATTTACGGGATTGTTGTAATTTACATCACTTTGATTACGACAATTTTCCCTCAATATTACACTCTGCTTATACACTGGGAAATTTTATAAAAACTGTCGCTGAGCCTTGTGTCACTTTGCTGTTGAAGTACTCAGCACACTTTTATTGTAATCTATGACTAATTAATATAAATCTTAACATCTGATAAAATTGTGAGATTGCTCTAGTCTCGAGTGCCCGACTAAATACCCTATACTCAGCTCAATAAAAAAAGAAATTCCCCTTGCTTATGATATATATATATATATATAAGTCAGCCTATCATCGGCTACTCTCGACCAACCACTCGACTTGTGTTTTGCCTGTGTAAGAATTTACTTGGATGTACTGCATCATATCAGTTATATTAACACTTTATTAAACAGAGGGGCATGACACGCTTGTGCATCAACTTATGGGTCTCTAAATTCTACAACGCCGTGAAATTGCATTCAGCCGGGCGTAGAATAGAACCAAAGGTACATTGCATAAACCAATATACTCTCATTTACGTTGTGTAAGTATGTACAAAGCAGCACCTTTTTCCTTTTTTTTCGCATAAGCTTGTATGTCAGTAGATGTGCCATGTGTTCACTGATAAAAAGTTTTAATTTATGTCAAAAGCTTTTGCCAAGAATTTTAATATGCGCACAATTTTTGCAAAGTTGTCTTTGTCACTTATGTATGTACTTGGGTATCCCGTCTATCCTTGGCAGTGTCACAGAGGCTCTCAGATTCCAAGCTATCGAATTCTTTAGGGCACCGAATATTGTAGCTGAAGTGAAGTTCAGTTCCTGCTTTCTGCTTCTGATATGCGAAATCAACTCAAAATGAATATTATCAATAGTTTAATAAACGTTTATAACTTTTACTCTATAAAATAAATGAGATATAAGCATAAACATTTGTATATATTTTTATATATTAATTTGTTCGACCAGACAGTCATGGCTTGCAAAATTCCAGACGCGATAATGGAAAATTTATGAAAGACGGCCGTACAAAACTTTGTATTCACTAACAAATCGGCTTACTCTTCATTTTCAAAGATATTACTATTTACTTCCAAGTCAATGCCCCTACTAAACTTCCATACCCTTTCCAAAACGTATCCAATTTAAATGAATTACCTTTAATCTTTCTTCAAAGATTTTTATGCCCGGTCCCTAGTAAAAGCCACTTCTAATCTTCAAACTTCCACTTTGCCAAAACATATCAAACTATGCATTTAATAAAAAATATTTTTTTCTTCCAAATTTTCTTTTTAATCGAATATCAGTATTAGATAGTTAAGAACGATATATAAAAAGAAAAAATAATCGTGCTCTAGTGGGAAATGCCAGAGAAGGGAACTGCCCTGAACCTTCTTCTGCCAACAGCGTGTTCAGTTCGGTAAAAGGTATTTCTCAGTTCCGGAGTCGATTTTCGCAAAAAACAGAGTCGATGTCGATGTCGATTTTTATCGATTGCTTGGAAACAGAGCAAGATATCGATTGCAACAGACTCGCGCACTGCGCGGGCACTAGTTGGACCTACATTCCAAATTTTAAGTCTCTAGCTCTTATAGGTTCTGAGATCCATACGGACATATGGACAGACGGACGGAGAGACAGGCGGACTTGGCTTAATCGACTATGCTGTTAATGCTGACCATAAATACTATACATAATTAATAAAGTCGATGGTGATTCCGTGATGCCAAAACCATTATATCGTTGGGTATACCTAATGGTATTTTTCTCTCTGATATCCTTTTTAATCGGTCTTTTTTTTGTGTAATTTATAGCAATATATGATACGCTTTGTTGCTCAAGAATGGGAATGATGAAGTTTATGTTAACCATAACAAAACATTTCTTTTGACAAAACGGCAGATGGAGCTTTGCCTCAAAGTATCTACAATAAAGTTGAGAATGCTAGGCGCATGCGTCGTCACATATAAAGGGGCTGTTCAGTAAATACCTGATATGAGATTAAAACAATATACTGTTTAAATATCTTGTGAAAATTCAATATTTATTTCCGACTACAGCGCAGCAGATTTTGCGAAATACATATGTTGGAGTAAATTTAATTAACTATATAAATTACCGGAAAGTATATCATATTTATGACCAAATCAGAGCGTTCTCGGGCACACCTCGAATAACGTTTGAGCTTTACAAGTTTTGTGCCTGATTAGCAAATTCACAACAGGCTATGAGCTTATATTCAACACAACTACCAATTCGTATAGAGCCTACAGCTTACACGTCGTGTTTAAATAGTCGATGTTGGAACCAATAAGCTTTTCAAAATCTGTAAGCTTTGACATATTTGTGTATTGAACAAACATTCTCGAAAAGTGCGTATCTGAAGCTTTTCAGCGACAACATTGCAGTGCAGTGCAGTTACAAAACAACGAAATTTTCATATTATACAAAAAACTCAAGCCCGCAATAATGGCCTCCTCTAAGAAGAGAATACAATCTCAATCTTCCGCCAATTATCGAGTCACCAAAATCAGCCGAGGTAGCCGAGGTAGTGATGAGAGCCATGGTAGCAAGGAAATGCAAGAAAATATGCTCGGCCAGAGCGAGGAAGTCCGAAGCCCGACAACCCAAAAGTCATCCAGCAGCATCATAAGTGACTTTGCGCATCTTCGCCCACGCGGCGGTCTTCGGGGCAAGTCCTACTGGCACGACGTCATTGACGAAGTGGAGTTTGCAGTTCATTGCGTATCGCAGCCACGATTGCCAATCATCGACTACTCGCTAGTCCTGCCCCCACACCTACGCGAGCGCGTTAAGCAGATACAGGCCTACGACTATTCCACGTCAGACGACGTTGTTTATATTCGCGACGAGATGCGCGAGGAGCGGCCGCATGATTATCAGATTTCTAGTGAACAGGACAGCCGAGAAGAGGGACAGGAGGGGGGGGCTGCTCTTGTGAGTACCATTAGTTGTGATATTAATACACTAACAATATACATGTCTGGGCTGGCCTTTATAGCTAACGGACCGAAAGAAATTAGAAGAACATTTTGATGAAAGCCAACACTCGGATATTGTGCGCATGGATCATGAATTTGAGAAGTTTGATCTTAGGCTGGATGAGCCGGTTGGTCACACGCATCGCAAAGTCGACAAAACTAGCTGGTATGCGAAGTTTCTGTGCGCTTCTCGCGACGAACGCGTCTGCTGGGATTCACGAGTGGAGCGATCCAAGGCGGGTGATTCGGCCTACACGCTTGACGAGCAGGCCGAAAATCTAATGGATGCGGTAACATATAAAATTCGTCAAATTTGTACAAAATTCAACCTAAACTTATCTTATCAGTCAGCTGAGCGCTTTATTCACTGGCTCAATTCGATCGGTACAATGGATACGTCAATGACACCAGAGAAGGTAAAGAACTTATTTTCCATCAAAGGTGATCGAACGCTTCTTGCTTCAGTTAAAACAGACCCAAAGGAAGTCAACGCTATAGCGCAAACAGTGGCCGACAAATGGAATAAACCCCATGTAAGGAGTAATCAAAATTGAGAATCCCTTCCCCTTGTGTATACCTATTAACATTTTACAGATGGCAATTGAGCTCAAGTATGAAAAACATATCAACGACCATGCAATGCGTGAGACCCGCAAGCCGCTACTTAGCGCCTTTGGTCGAACTGTACCTCTTAAGGAGCGACCTTGGACAAAGCGATCTGGTGATAAGGTCATCGAAACAGTTTACCCGAACGATCTGCTTACTCGCGAGAAAATATTTAAAGGCATCACCCACCTGCGCAGCACCACAGCGCTCATTGATTTCTACCTAAACAATCCAAAATTATCACGACCTCTATATTTACTCCAAGGTGGCGACTTCCAGGAAATGAACACAAGCGAATCGGTAATGGAAATACCCCTCTATGAATATCTCGGCCTCCGCTATTAGCAGGAACTTCATTTGGCTTATAGCGTTATACAAAATCAGTTAGAATCGTATAAATTAATAGTTTTGTGTTAGGTGATGAAATATATTTGAATTATATTATTAAACGAAAGATAAATATGTATTTGCAATTTGGGTAATGAAACTCGATTAAATAAAATTGATGGTTCAGTTTTTATTTTTACACTTTATGCTGGTTTTTAAACCCTGAACTCATTACAAATTTGTAAATACGGTATCATGTTTTTGTGCAAATTTATATAACAGATATATTCCAATCGATCCAGCCATGTCAGTCTGTCTGTCTCTCTGTCCGTCCATCCGTCCGCCCGTATGTACATATAAGTGCTTCGATCTCAGAGACTATAGAAATAAAATAATTGCAATGTTGATCGTGAGTTATCCTATGGCACGCGTGGAGCAAGTTTGTTTTGAGTTATCGATAGCTCATTAGTTTCGATAAAATTAATCAAAATCGATTTACTGATTAGATTTTTTAATCAGATCTCGGATCTTCAAATAGACCCCAAAGTTTGAATGAATGTTCTCGTAAAGTGCAAACAGATTCAGCATTTTCCTCTTTTAAAATGTTTCTACTCTTTCCACCTGAAAATTAAGTTTAGCCTCGAACCTTGGTATATGCGGACTTCTTTATTCAATGCTTAAGACCAGAAATAAGCCCTGGGTAAATGGGGCACGAGTTGGGCACCCGGCGTGCGTGCACGAGTGGGTGTGCATATTTATAAGTTCACTAAGTTCGGCGTATCTCAGGCACTCCCGACTAGAGCTTATTTGCTATTACTATAGTATAATAATTTATTATAAATACTACAAACGTAGGCGTTAGCTATAAACAGAAAAATACGTGCACGTGTGGGTGTGTATGTATGTATATAGGTGCTCTAGCAATAAATAAACTATAACATAGATTCTATACAAATCTTATAATAGTTAGCTTATATGGAATAAAGCTAATAATAATACAGGTAACTTCTACGAACGCACATAAGTATTATATATGTGTGTGTTTGTTTCTTTGTTTGTTTGTATGTTTGTGTTTGTATGTAAGTGCGTGTGTGTATGTGTATCCATGCGTTTATAAATATATGTATGCATGCATGTTTGTTTTCTAATACCAAACGCAGAAAACGACTTATGTTTCGCTGTGTTGCAAAATTTAAATAAAACGAATTTCTACCAAGTGCTCTACTCCTCGATTCTCAAGAAGTCAAGTAGGCTCTGCAATTTTTCATGCTTAGCTAAGTAGTAGTGTAGTGCTTTTTTTTTGTTTTTTTTGTTCTTGTGTGTTTGTTGTTCTTATTTTGTGATTGTTATTTTTATGTTTTTTATATATATATATACATATATATATATATGTAAATTTATAAGTATGTACATATACATATATGTATGTGTATGTAGGCATGAATGTATGGTAATATGTATGTATGTATGTGTGTATGCATGTGTGTATGTATGTGTGTATGTTTGTATGTGTGTATGTGTGTATGTATGTATATATGAATGAATGTATGTATGTATGCATGTACAGGCATACATCTTTAAATCACATTTCCACCGAGGAAGCTTGGTTTCTGCGACAAGTGTGAAACACGTCTCCGCGAAGCGTCAACCAAGGAGGAATGCACTTTTCGAAAAATGTGAAAACCCCTCAAATGAATTTGAACAAAGATCTTTAAAAATGAGTTTGAGGCCGATCTGATGGTAAACATACAAGTTTCATACAAAAGTTTTTGGAATCAGTTAGTCAGTCAGTCAGTCACACAGTCAGTCAGTCGGTCAGTCAGGACAAACAGTTTTATATATAGAGATTGACATCAGGATATCTTCTAGTCAGGTTCTCCTGACTCAAACTTATTTGTTATTACTATAGCATAATACATTAGAAATCATACAAAAGTATATTAATACACAAACACAGGCGATAACTATAAAATGAAAAATACTTGATCTGCTTGGAAACGGGGTAAATTATCAATTATCGGTAACAAACTCGTACTGCGCTGGCACTAGGAGGACCTACGTTAAAAATTGTTATTGTCTCTAGCTAGTGCTGAGATCCATATATTACATACGGACGGACAGAGAGGTGGAAATTTTTGGGTCGACTCGGGTATTGATGCTGACCACGAATATATATATATACTTTATGGAATCAGAGATGGTTATTTTTCCTTGTTACGTACATTTTCACCAAAATATTATATCATTTTACCAGTTTTTAATGGGATTAGGGTATAACAAGTAAAAGTCTCTAGTTGGGAGCTCTCGACAAGGGGATACCATGAACCCTTTTCTACTAACTCGTTTGCTTTAGCAGTAATACAAATAAATTTAAAAAAATAAAAAAATAGTTCTCTCGATATAATTCGAGCTTGTAATGTATACAGAAATTCTTGCAATTTGCGCTAGCTGACGCTGACACGTTTTCTTTAATAACTTTTGGTTTTTTAACCGATCTTAATGAAATTTTTAACAGTATATCTTATTTTGCTAAATAATATTTGTATATTCTTAAAATATCAATTGCATTCAAATTGTGGCTTAAATTGGTGGACAATACAAATTGGTTTATTTACTTGATGTATAAATATAAAATGAAAGATACTTGATATACTACATGTCAAGTTTGGTGACTCTAGCTCCTATAACTTACGAGATTTTCTCAAAAAACAATATTTGGATATCGATCTGTATCGATTATTTGGAAACGGGGCAAGTTATCGATATCGGAAATAAACTCGTACTGCGCGGGTACTAGGAGGACATACATTCCAAATTTCAAGTCTTTAGCTCTTATAGGTTCTAATATCCTTGCGTTCGTACATACGGACAGACGGAAGGACAGACAGACGGACATGGCTGAATCGATTTGGCCATTGATACTGATCAAGACTACATGTACTTTAGGGGTCGGATATGCTTCCTACTGCCTGCTATATACATATATTTACCCATTTTGAATAGGTTCAGGGTATAAAAGCGTACAGTTGGCTTTGCAGCCACACTTCTATTTTGTACTGACAGGCTTCACAGCACGTTCATCTCATCAAGCTGTTATCTCTTCTACTATTATGAATATGAACGAGTTTTCAAAACTGTCTGTCTTTGCATGGGGCTGTTGCAAGGATCAATGAATCTGTGTCACTTTCAATAATCGCAAAGTTTGACATGGGATATAACACCCATGTAGGAACAGAAATCAGCCGACCTTCTTTTTAGTTAGGTTTTGCATTAAATATAGTTTGGCTTGCGGCTTTTCAAATATGCCTAGCTTATGTACGTGGAGTCCTTATGTTTGGATAGCAATGAGTCGGAAATCAAACGGTTTCCCTCCAATTGAGCACAGTTTCATCTTCATTGTCGGTTTAAGCGACAGCCGTCTTCACAACGTGATGGAGAGCTTGTGCACACAACCAAATGAATTTCAGCATGACAGTAATCGGCAAAATTAAACAATTTTGGCTCACATCAACGAAGTACGGAAGGAAAGGAAGGCTGTCTTGCATATATGCCAGTGAATGGAACTAAAGTGCTTTGATAAAATGTAATAAAATAAAGGGAATTAGATATTTTGCAGTTCATTGAAAACGTTTGGACTCAACTCAAACGACGGACGCAAGTGATTGACAAGGGTTGATAAGCATTTTATCTCTCGCTCGCTAATGGTTTAGTTGCTTATTTCGTTGACGCTGTCTACAACGCCCCGCCCAACATGTTAATTTCGGCTTGGCATGGGTGTAGTGGTCGCAGGACCAAACAAATACTGTCGACTTAGTGACCAACTCAACGATCAAAAGAATAACCGGGTTGTGGTTAATTAAGTATCCAAAATGCATTTGTCCATGCTATTCTGTGATGTCGTGGCTATTTGCTTGTGAGAGTATGTGAAGAAGCATTGAACCGTGAAATATGTATAAAAGCTGTTGCTGGTTGCCATAATTGCAGTGCTCTTGGTCTCTTGGACTCGCCTCGTTTTTATTTTACTGAAAGAACTCACGTGTGCTAATATTTAATTATGCATGTGATACAACTTGAAAGCAGAATGGATATCGGGTTTCTAAGTAAATTACAACGGGTATATTCGGCACGCCCTAGATGTAATGCCCCTGTAGACGGACAACTCGTCTCATGATGCTGATCAACAATTTATACACTTTATGGGGTCGAAGATGTCTTCTTATACCTATTTTGACATCAGTTATGTGATATGATTTGTTCCATGGCAATTCATTTGCAGAATAATTGGCTTGATAAATCAATTATAAATCGACCTTCGTTAATAGAACATTTCAATTTCTGGTAGAATCATACCATCCCAGATATTGTAATTAAAATGTGTATGTTGGAGATCCTGAAGGGCTAAAATTTATTTCCAAGGATCTTTGTGAATATTCAATTGTGAGCTACCTCGGTGAAAATACGCATTAATAATTTATTGAGCGACGCTCAAAGATATCAATTTCAACTGATAGGCTTCAAAATTATTTGGAAACGCCTACATAAGATCTTAATGAATATGTGCTTAACCCGCAACTGTGGAAATTTAACAGAAGATCTTTGTACAAAACTTATTTGATAGTATATACATATATCAAAGGTTGTAGAACAAAAGTTTTATTTTCGGCTTCAAGCTTACACGACGCTACTAAAATGGGCGAAAACCTTGATTCAAACTTTTGATTATTTTATCAATGGAATTCAAACTGTTTTATAAATATCTTTGTAAAATATAACTTTAGACGTGGAGTTCGAGATAGTATGGGTAGTGTTAAAATTTTCGACATGCGGAAAATATCATGATGATGAAACTACATATATGCACCGAATTTATTCAAGGGAATTTAATTTAATTTAAGGGAGGAATAAGTAAGCTGAGTGCATGCGTTTTGTTTATAGATGTTTGGAAGTAGCTGGAATGTTTAAAACGGCAGCATGGCGTTGTGTACTGTGTCGTCCTAGTCGAGTACTTTCCAACAAAGCATTCAAGGTGTTTAGATATTAACATTAAGTGTAAAAAAAGGTTCAATAAATGATATTATAATGAGCAATAAAAACAACAGCAACCATACGGATATTTTTATA